CCCTCTGGACGAAAGTCCCTCGAAAAATGACCAAAAGCCCCTCACTTTATATATCAATGGGAAATGGTTACCTAAGTTGGATAACTTGTTCCTCATCCCTTTCTTCACTGAATAAAATATGTTTAAATCAAATCAAATCAATGGGAAAATAAGATTAAAGACACGAAATGATTAATGTCATGAGAATTTTCATTGCTTCATAACATAATGACCCTAAATAATATAAATCAATGTGTAATTAGAAAATAAATTTAGTTAATAAGAAATAAATATCACCAAACAAATCAACAAGAAATGATTATTGACATGCAAAATTGCATTGCAGCATAAGTAATAATCAAACCAATCAACACAATGTAATGTCTTGCCTAAAAGCGGGAAGAAAGTCCATTTTGTTTATGCCGCAAGGTGGCGTAATCCATTATCTGTGGCGAACAGAAATCATCACGATTTCTCCATTTCCTTTACATTGATATGACAACATATATGCCATATATGGTATATTTAATGTTAGTGAAATCTGGGAGGTGATTTGTGTTAATATATACAGAAGATTGCTTGTACATATACAGATGAGTAAGTATTATAGGCATGTGATTATGGTACTTGCTACAATAATAGATATACAATTGACATTATTAATAACAGGCGATTAAGAGGTAATAAGATACAAATTATGAGAGGATTTAATAATATATTTAAGATATGAAGTGATTAATAACGTTGTAAGGTAGGAAGTCAGTAGCGGAGGTAATAAACATGAAGGTAGGTCGGTAGAGCTGATGGGGGCAAGGTGAGGTGACTCGTAGCTTAGGTAAGGGGAAAACTACTACACTATCAAGATGGAGCAGCGTGGCCGGGGACCTTGGTACCAGTTCTTGGTATTCTACAAGTCATATATGGTTAGGGGAGAGAAACTCTGAGATTCATGGAATCCACCTCACAGTCTTACAAATATGGTATTGGGGGTACGAAATAGAGGTGGGGGAGAGTAATGGATAGTCCGGTTATGGGTTATTGACAAATAGAAAAATGGAAAAGGGTGTTGGCTGTGACATAGGAACCCAGCTTTAAGCTGGAGCAAAGCTCAGAGACGAGAGTCTGGTGCGGGCCTACTCTTGATGTTTGGTCACTAGGAATCGTCTCAGAAATTATCTTGAAGCACCAGCATTTGGCTTAAGACTGAAGCTTCGCGGCTGAAGTCTTATAGAGTGACCATAGAGTAGGTTGACCAGCAACACAGTGTTAATAAAACTACTGAACGAAGATCATCGTCTTGTGGTTGCTGGAGGAACTACGGTAAGGTTCCAAGGGACCCCGGGTACTGACACTGTACCTCTCGCACATCCCTTATCGTCAGGACCGAAGTACGGGGGTATGCCGTAGTTCAGGTAAGGACACGCCATCCCAGGTGTGGGATACTGACAGGTAAAAACATTTACCTGCCAGGTAAATGTGCTTGTCGGAACGCCTTGGAAATAAGTACATTAAGTCACCAGTCACTTGCCAGTGTCTGTTATCTTATGACTAAAACACAACCAGTCTGTAGCTCCCAAGACAGTGCCATGTCTAGAAAGGCACCCCGATTCCGCCGATTGGAAAGGAAGGCATTCAGTCGACCGATCAGGCCAACCTTTGTTGGTATTTGACCGATATCAGGACAATTTTTGTTGGTGTTCAACCGATCACGTCAACTGTTGTTGATATACGACCGATCACGTCAACCTTTGTTACTATTCGACCGATCAGGTCAACTGTTGTTGATATACGACCGATCACGTCAACTTTTGTTAGTATTCGAAAGGTCAGATCAACTTATTGTAGCTATTCGAAAGGTCAGATCAACTTATTGTAGCTATTCGAAAGGTCAGAGCAACTTATTGTAGCTATTCGAAAGGTCAGAGCAACTTATTGTTGCTATTCAAAAGGCCAGAGCAACCTATTGTAGCTATTCGAAAGGTCAGAGCAACCTATTGTAGCTATTCGAAAGGTCAGAGCAACCTATTGTAGCTATTCGAAAGGTCAGAGCAACCTATTGTAGCTATTCGAAAGGTCAGAGCAACCTATTGTAGCTACACGATCGATCAGGATGTAACCACTGTGTCCGTTACAACGAATTACCGTTATCTGTTCAGGTTGTTGACACAAGAACCAGCATTAGTAGGCAACTGGCCATATCGTTACTCAACGCCTACAACCAGAAAGCGACATCAATCTCCCGATCATTGAGGCTCGTGTCACATTCTACGCGTTTTATTGGTGTCATAAATCTATCTATAATTTATTTTACAGTTTTAAACTTGATCAAATCGTTTTATTTAGCGCCTTGAGCATTCACAACGACGTGGAAGCATGGGCTTTATATATAGCATTATTAGCATTATTAAATATTGCAGACCTGCCTCACTTCGGGCATTGATCGTCCCTCAAGCTGACATGCCAGGTTAGGACTGAAGGGTCGAAGGTTTTATTTTTCTCAACTTCCACCAACGGTGGTACATGAGTGAAGTGGAAAACAACTTACATACATATATACACCAAAATGGCATTGGAGAGGTATAATTGAGACTGGATAATGTACAATACAATATACATACATATTCATATATACAAGGATGCCATTAGAGAATGATGCAATCATTTAATTACATGTATTTATATCTAACCTTCTATTGATACATTTCATAAACTTTGACAAATCGTTAGCTCTCTTTGAACAAAGTAATCTTTTAAGTGTATAAAGGTTGGGCCAGGTATTGACATTCTGAGGTATATACAGCTGTCGCTGTTGGTGAAGAGCTTGGCACCTGAAAAGGTAGTGAAACTCATCACCAACAGCATAGTGAGTTACATAATTTACATAACTATCATATCTAGGGGTATTTGTTCACCGGCCAGTCTCAACAGGTAACTAATGGTTACTAGTTCTAAATTTAAGAATAGGCAAGTAAATTGCTTTTGGCATAAAAAGGTATGGTTCAAAAGATAAATCCTGTTTATAATATTTATAAACTTTGGATTCCCTTAGAACTTTGTTCTAGAGAATTTCTCCAATTTTGTAAATTTTGGACCTTGAGTATCTGTTCGAATTCTACTGTTGAGGCTAGCCACGTGGTAGTGCAAATGGAAAGATTATCATATATTTCATTTAACCCACAATCATTAAGAATTTTTTAACAAATAGGTGAGGTGAGGTGAAACTAGGTTTTACGTCGTGCTTGTGAATATTTCGCTCATATGACGACGTGCATGCGTGTGTATGTGTATGTGCGGCTGCTTGTACTAGCCCAGACTTAAGGTGGTTTTATAGTGCTAGCTCACTGAGATACCATGCCGCAGTGAAGCATGAATACCCCACTCAGACACATTATACTGACTCCGAGCCGACCAGTCCTTGTTGTACCCATTAATGCCGAGCGCCAGGCAGGGACCAACGGCTAATTCATTCCATGTACAAACTATGCACTACTATCATCGATGCTTATAGAGGCCACACACAATACTGACTTTGGGATATCTTAATGGTACCAAATTTGGTGATTTTGTTTGTGTGAACTCTAAATGTGATTCCCAAAATGAGTTAACCATAATTGTCAAGTTTGAACTCAATCCTCCGATTTGATTGTTCATTAGAGTAAATTAAAGTGTGTGTTTTAAGAAACTGCTATCAGTGCGACATTTCTTTAAATTTGTGGTTCAATATATGTTGATATAAATTGGCTCTCTACCAAATTCACCAAAGAGAGCAAAATTTGGAGTTGAATTTCTTTATGAGGAAATTAGTTTTAAGAATCTTAGGTGTAATCTTTCAAAATTCAGTAAATTTTCAAATCCCCCAATTTCGGATCCATATATCATAATAGGTGCGATCGATCATATTGTCAAACGCTGATAAAATACAATCTAGTGGTAAATTTACATTCCGAGCTTTTTTCAATAAAGCATACATGGATTTTGTGATTTGATTGTAATTACATCTCTACCATTCCTATGAAGTTTGATTCCAAGGTAATTGTACACGTCGATAGATAAGAGAACAGCCAGGCGAGGGGCTAGAGGTGCTAATTAGTAGCTTGTAACCACAACGGGCTAGGGGGGCGGGGGATAGAGGGGTGGAGTCATTGACAGACTATTGAACAGAGACTGCCCGTGTACACGTCGATAGCTAACGGAACAGCCAGGCGAGGGCCTAGAGGTGCTAATTAGTAGCTTGTAAACCACAAGGGGCTAGGGGGACGGGGATAGAGGGACGGGGGCTAGGGGGACGGAGGATAGAGGGACGGGGGCTAGGGGACGGGGATAGAGGGACGTGGCCCATGGGCTAGGGGACGGGGGCTAGAGGGTGGAGTCATTGACAGACTATTGAACAGAGACTGCCTGTGTACACGTTTGTTGTCGACAACATCCAAGCTAGAATTCAAAAGTAAGAAAAATTGGTAGCACCAATGACATTGATTACTTTCTTGATTATTTTTTATGGATAGTATAAGTGAGTTGTTACCTGAGGAATTGATTTCTCATTGATTACTTGTGATTGGAAGTACACGTGAGCTTGCTGTATTTTTACGAGTCGCCTTCCTGGAAATAAACCAGGAAGAAAAACTCCCACCGCAAGCCACAACTTACAATAGTGCCGGGGATTAATTATTGCCCAGAAGAAAACGAGGTTAGCACGGTGGTGTAGTGGTTAGCATGCTGGCCTCTCACGCCAAAGGCCCGGGTTCGAATCCCGGTGGAGACACCAAACTTTGTGACCTGGGTCTCATACTGTGTTGTGTCCCTGGGCAAGGCACTTCTTCCACATTGCACTCAGTCCACCCAGCTGTTCAAAATGGGCACCTGAGAAGCGAATGTACAGACCTATATACGGTCAGTTTTGAAAGTACAATTCCGTCAGGGTAATAATGTAACGCCAGAGGGCAGCATCGTGTTGGATTCTAGGCGCAAATATTAGCATTATTACGTTAAACATGTTTTAGATATGTAACAGACATGATCAGTAAAAGTGTTTAAATATTTTTATTGCAAATTCACCATAGATGTACTGACAACCAGTTACACAGGATCACAAACGCTCAGGTATTTCCTGGGTATACATATATATGCATTCATCACCTCACATTAACTCACATCAACTCACATTTTTAAAACGTGTGAACAGTAAATGTTTTCTTTAAAAGAAAAATCAGATTGCTCTATAAATATGAAGACATTCTCACATGAACAAAGTCATTGCACCAATACCATCATACCAGCGTGGTATGTCTTGGCAAATAAATACAAAATAAATAAACGATAATGCTGAAAATGACTAAAACCCGTAAACGATGGACATTCACATATGTCCCTGTCACACAATGTCTCACAGACTTCACAGACGCTCGGACTGTGTTCAAGTTGAACATTTGATTTCAAGCATAGCGGAACTTTAGTTCCATAATTTTCTGTTGTAAAATATGATCCCTAGAAAGACCATACATTCATAAACTCGACGACAATGTTTTTCATAATAAAATGTTTCAACTGAGGATATTTTACACACAGAACTAATTTTTATGAATGTTAAATGTATTTTGTTTACATCTTGCTGGTATTAATGCTTATCTGTCCTCCTCCCCCCCTTGCCCCCTTTCCTTCGTCCTCCCCCTCTCTTTTTCCCTCTACAACCTTTAAACAGTTTTAACCCACGCGAACATTTCTTAACCGATTTCTTTCCGATACAGGATCCGTACTTCATCATACGTTCCATGGTTGTCGTAATGTTGGATCGTTGTACGATGTCAGTACTGAGGTTCATCTCGAAACTCCCAACGTTGGTATTAGACCGACTGGCAGTGCCAACAAGCAGATAACACAGGACGCCTTTGATCTGCTTGAACTGTGCCAGGCTGTTGTTATTGTCAGTACAGTTGTGAAACAACATTGTTGAAACCTTCTCTTCTTCAACCTTCTTCAAAATGTCAAGATACTCCAGAAAGTACATGGTAGCAAATGCTTCTGTCTTTTTTATTTTCTTCAGTTGCTACAATATAAAAATGGGATTATTTTAGAAAAAAACATTGAAGGCTGTTATGTTATGTTTGTATCAGGTGTCGCTCGACTCTGACTCACAACATGGGTTTTATCAAGGTTATAACATGGATTCAAACCGTTCTACGGCAGACGCGAAATGTAGGCTTCAGTGATTCCCTTGCGCCATATTTTCCCATTTTGTTTTAAGGTAACAAGTTACTTGCGTTTTCACGTGTTCGTGATGAACACCACGAGGGGAACACAATTACTAACCTTTCAAGAACACCTGGTGTTGTCATTGTTTTATAGCGATTCATAAACACATACATTTTATATAGTCGGGATGGACTATTCTTTATTTTACCACATCTTTTCTTACTGCGCCTATTTACAAGTGTACTTTGTAAATATAAATAAAACTGTGTATGTGTTTGCTTGCACCATCGATATATACGGATGAACAGAGGATTCAGTGTTTGTTTGTACCGTTATAGCATGTCATCGATATATACTGATGAACAGAGGATTCAGTATTTGTTTGTACCATTATAATATGCCATCGATATATACTAATGAACAGAGGATTCAGTGTTTGTTTGTACCATTATAGCATGTCATCGATATATACTGATAAACAGAAGATTCAGTGTGTTACCTTTTTTATCAACTGGGCATTCATCTTTGAATTCCTCTTTGCCACGCCATTGTTGTAGAGCAGCATTCTGGTAACATAAGCATAGTGTGAGGATGCATATATGATAGCATGTCCTGACATACGGTGGCAGGGATAGTTTTGATGGTGGTATGAATGTGGACACATAACGAACATACATAGTTTCTTAGTTTGTACATAATACATATAGAAAAATGATTTTCACCCAGTATGCAAAAACCAAGGTATCTGTGTTTGGCCTTAATAAAATGATAGTCATTTTACACAGTGTCTGTAACTTCGTTAGAAGTATGAACGGTCAACTCCCAAAGGTGACGTGATGAGCAAGCCGAGTAGATAAAGTACGTCACTAAATACTGTTCCATCAGAGTATTCACAAGATGCTCATTAGTTCGTCTTTCTTGAATTTAGGAACTGGGTTCGTTAGAACATTAACTCAAGTCAATATTGTTTCTGCCCCCCTGACTGCCATGTCTTACGATGGTATTACATCATGAACTGACCCTATACACATGTCCGTTTCAGCTAACGATTAAGTTACTGTAAAACTTCATACGTGTATTGTCAACCATGATATTGTCTACATGACCTAAGCAAGTCTTAAAAACAAGATTGATACGATCATGATGATATTTGACGAGTTGATAAAACAATGCCCCCATCGTATCTGTGGATACAAGATAACTGGACGAACTGCCGTATACTCAACACAAACTCTAGATACTTACATTCATACTGAGCCATTCGCCAGTGTCTTGTTTCAGCATACTTCCATACTTTTTCCGGAATGTCTCCCAGGTTTCCTCCGTCATGCTTCCTTGGATAGGGAGGTTGCATACGTCATCCTTGTAGTACGTGAAGCTGCGCTCACTAGCCTGGCTGCCATACACTGAATAGAGCACACATACATTACTTCAACTACTAGTTTCAAATACCCGTGATTATATATACAGGAAGAACATAGTAAAACGCGGCAGACGGATTACTTCATAAGAGATTTATGAACAGCAAATATATACACAATGACTACGCTCAACTCAAACATCTAAAAACAGAGACAAACATCGGGAACTGTTTAAGAAAAGTGACCAGGCCGCAGATATTGGAGAACAAAAAAATACATAACGTGATTATCTGTGTATTAAAGCCAACGTTCAGGGTTTTAGTTACTATCTTACCTGATAAAGTCAGACAAAACAGTGCTAGTTTCAAATAATTCATCTTGTATACAATTCTAATTGTATCCTAATTTCGTCAGTATAGTTGATAACCAATATAATTGTTATTAAAATTCGGGTTCCTTTTATACAGACTATATGACCTGGTTTGGCATTTCCAAATTCTATTTTTTCCCTTAGGGGGTATGGGGTAAGACAAAACATCCAACCAGAGAACTCTTTTCTGAAAAGAAAGAATCACATTCTATATTTGGTTTGTGAATGTGATGACAACAAGCGTGTGTGTCCGCCCCCCGGCCTAACCAGTCACTACTTCCAGATGTACGTATACTTCCGGTTTCTAAAGTACTCACCACTAGTTCCTGTACCTATCGAAGTATTCATAAATGTGTGTAGATAGCTTTCCCAAATGTATTGTCACATAATACATATACAGAAAAGATAAATTATTCTTTCGTTATTGTTGAAAAGGCAGGTAACTGCTGCTGGAACATAATGCAATTGTATAAAAAAATGTATCCATATTTTAAAGGAACTTAAAAATCACTAGTCTATAAAATACATCAAAATCTTTAACGTATTGTTCACCCAAATGTGGCTACTTCGTTACTAAAAAAAAGGAAACAGTTATATTTATTCAGTTTTGTATGTATCAACGTTCTAACTTTGTTATCTCCCTTTACTGATAACACGAGATAAGAGAGGAAACGTGTCTGAAATAGGTTTCGGTTCGTGTGTAATGAGATGTATATTATTCTCAGTTTAGACCAAATGGTATGATTAAGTTATGTTTTGGTCCTTGTACTGTAGCAAGGCGTGGAGTCATCCCATAGATGCCATCCTCACTAGCTTCCTCAAAGGGTTAACCTCTTTGGTGATGTGGACAAGTAAGGCATCCGACTTCAGATCAGATGGTCTGTGGTTCCAATCCCAGCAGGGAAGTCGGGAATGTTATGGCCGCTACAGTACCTGCAATAATAGGTTATAAATACATCAGACACGTCAACGAACATTTCACAATAGGAGTTGTGTAGGAGTAACATTGCTGCCAGGCCAGAGGAGGATGTCAACACTGTACCCGAAATGGTGGGTCTAGCTTGTACAACAACACACACTGCCCCGGGGACTTGGAGGACACATACCACTAGTAGGGAGAACACCAGGCAAATGGAAATGCTCAAAGTCGTCGACGGGCATAGTATACACGGATCACGATCTGCAGACTGGACACGCCTGTGACTACCCAGCCAGGTGTTAACCGTGAAAACACATGTAATGCTCTGAGTATTATCAGGCTGGTAAAATCACAAATCACATTCGGCTCAGTGAGTCGCTTCATTCATACAAACACAAGTATCAGCTTATTTTACAACTTCTTTCAATTTAGTATGTTATTGTTTTATATATTTATATGGATGTGTGTGTGTGTGTGTGGGGGAGGGTAAAATATCAATATAATCATTATGAAGAATATGAATAATTAATATACTCAAGATTTTAGAAAGACGTTTAAATAAACATAATCATCATTGATCAATATCCCCCACAGCCTAAGACTGATATGGTGTATACACTTCAACCAACAGAGGGTATAACACGCTATGTACAGTGTGAGTGCTACTTGAGTCTTAATCAGTAAATCATTGTTATTACAATAACAATTATCCAGTGGAAGCTAAAACCTCGTGATGTAATTAGCCAGAATCTTCAGATCTCCGGACGCCTTTAGTTTATCTTATCCAGTTTCACATTTCTTGAAGCATCAGATCCCACCTGAAAAATACCCCTGTTCGGCTTTACTTTGAATATTATGTCCGTCGTGTAAAAATAGGTCGCTAGTAACATATGTTTGTACACACGACACCTGGCGCTGGAAATGGACACACTACTGTTTAAGTCCATGTTTAGGGCCTTGTCTTTTCAACTAATAATAATTTATTCCATATATCAGTACTTCGTGCAGTATACTACGGTTATAACGAACTCAAAGGGACCACTAATTATAGACTATAGTTCGTTATAACCGTACTTAGTTACAGGCATTTCGACTAAAACATCTAGCAAGTGGCCCGTACCGAACACAACCCAATTAGTTAGGAGTGTGGTCGTTGAAAACTTTACTATGTAAGTAATATTAATACACCCTCAAACACACACAATTATATGAAGGCAAAACACATTTACATGTATGCTCTTCTCTGATGATATATAGAATTCATTTTGCTTCATCCTCTGATACTTCATAATGACATATACTGAAGAAGAAAGGAAACTTCAGTCTTGGAGAAATGAATTATATTGAAAATGGGTAGTGCAGGGGAGTTAATATTGGTGAATAACACGCGGGGTGCATACAGCATGCTCTTTTGTAAAAACGCAAACAAGTACGTATGCAGGGTCACGTCTACACAATTTCAGTGCTTAAAAACCTATATGTTTGCAGAATTTTGTTGATGAAAAAACGCGTTAACAATTCTTGAAAGATAAACAGTTCTCATGCCTTACAAATGAACGTTCAATTTGCATGTTCAAAGCTGGAAGTCTACAGTGGTTGTTGCACGTGCCATGTGGCGCCGTGGACGTTCAGTTGGGCCGATTCTGACACAGGTAAACCGTAATGAACGTCTACCCTGGGCATAATTGCACCTGCAGATGGCAAAACTCGGTTGTTGACGTCATGGAGTGGCCATCGAGATCACCTAATCAAAATCCCACCAAATTTGTATGGGATGCTCTTGGAAGATGACTTCGTGACTTGAGACGTCAACCCCCAAATATATTCAAGATTTGGACACAACATTGATACAGCAATATCACAGGTTGCTTGATGCCGTGTTAACGGGTGTTAGGTAGTCAATGAGGCAACGTTGAATTGCCTATTGTGAATGCAACGTATCGGGGAAGGCGACACCTCAGTGCCTGATTGTGGCACTTGAATGCCTAATCCTGTTTTGGTGTGCGCTCTATACGTCCATAAACCAGATTTGTCCACTACCAACACACTTTGTTGTGTGGGTATGTTTAGGACATAAAGTAACACATATGAAGTTCCTTATCTAGTTAGTATATATTGGCTTAAACACAAGAGGCAGGAGCAGCGTCACAAGCATAGACACAATAATACGTTTGTACGAAATGGGAACAATTAATTCAGAATAACTCAAGATCGGGAATAGTGTAGTAAATGACAATACAGTACCCGGCAATACAGTACCCGGTAGTACCCGGCAATACAGTACCCGGTAGTACCCGACAATACAGTACCCGGTAGTACCCGGCAATACAGTACCCGGTAGTACACGGCAGTGATTACCCTGTACCCAACAATATCTTCTTTTTGATTTTTATACCCATCACTAGAAAAAAAAGTTGTTTAGGAAAACAACTTGTTTCAGGTATGGGTATAATAAAAGCAAACATCAGATATTGTTGGGTACAGGGGATTCATCTGTATTGACATTTACTGGTCTAGTCCCGATTTGGAGTTATTTTGCAATTCATCGTTTTCATTTGGATACAACTTGACTGTACCGAATCAACGCGGGATTGAAACGCGATCACGAGCACGACAAACTGTTGCTTCAGGAAAGGCACTAGTGAGTAATGTGAATTATTTTCACCTTGATGTCCTGTTTATGATGACTGAAAATAGAAACTGCGTTATATTTACCTCGTGTTCATTGTTTTGTAAATGCCCGCGTCCAGTAGGATGTAAGAGAACTATATTATGTAATTTTACAGCGTAAACGTTTTCATGATTGGGTCACCAAACTCATTTCATAAATTTGTGAAATAATTAGACACCGTTAACCGGGGATATTTTCACGAAATGGATTAACAAAACTGTACATGTATGCATATACACACGCATATACACACAGATATAATACCACACACACACAGACACACACACACACACACGCACACGCGCGCGCACACACGCACACACACACACGCACGCACGCGCGCACACGCACACACACACACACACACACACACACACACACACACATACTCGACGTCATTTATAGTCATGATTTATCACAACGGCCTACAAAGATCGAGTCGGGGCCAAGCTGTTAAATGAATGAAAGCGTGACCCAGAAAGTGAATGCACTTTGCGAGCCATTTCCATAAAGTGATTAAGTAAGTTGTTGGCAACATCAGATCTAGGAGCCGTGTTCCAGGTTTGAGCCTACAGAAAGTCGACTCGAGTTGGAGTGAGAGCAGTGTGGTTTACGTCAACATGGTATCTGGCACGGCATATCATTATAAACTTGAAGGAAAGACCACAACTCCAATGTCGAGGGCGTTCAAACCCAGAGAGCAGAGACATCATGTTGACAGACCAAGGATCAACTTAAGCTCGAATCTGAGCAACCACGATCACCACTCATTGGAATATGAGCCATGTTATATGTTCTATTATACATATTATATCACTATTACGTACACGTATTGTAGTGAAAACTTGAGTGTTGGAACATCATCCCTTAAACTGACGGTATTACACATATTGTACTGGAACATCACCCCTTAAACTGACGGCATTACACATGTTGTACTGGAACATCACCCCTTAAACTGACAGCATTACACATGTTGTACTGGAACATCACCCCTTAAACTGACAGCATTACACATATTGTACTGGAACATCACCCCTTTTAAACTGACGGTATTACACATGTTGTACTGGAACATCACCCCTTAAACTGACAGCATTACACATATTGTACTGGAACATCACCCCTTAAACTGACGGTATTACACATGTTGTATTGGAACATCACCCCTTAAACTGACGGTATTACACATGTTGTATTGGAACATCACCCCTTAACTTTGACTGGCATTACACATATTGTACTGGAACATCACCCTTTAAACTGACGGTATTACACATGTTGTACTGGAACATCACCCCTTAAACTGACATCATTACACGGTATTACACATATTGTACTGGAACATCACCCCTTAAACTGACGGTATTACACATGTTGTACTGGAACATCACCCCTTAAACTGACAGCATTACACACATTGTACTGGAACATCACCCCTTAAACTGACGGTATTACACATGTTGTACTGGAACATCACCCCTTAATCTGACAGCATTTCACATGTTGTACTGGAACATCACCCCTTAATCTGACAGCATTACACATATTGTACTGGAACATCACCCCTTAATCTGACGGCATTACACATATTGTATTGGAACATCACCCCTTAAACTGACGGTATTACACATGTTGTATTGGAACATCACCCCTTAAACTGACGGTATTACACATATTATACTGGAACATCACCCCTTAAGCTGACGGTATTACACATATTGTACTGGAACATCACCCCTTAAACTGACGGTAATACACATATTGTATTGGAACATCACCCCTTAAACTGACGGTATTACACATATTGTATTGGAACATCACCCCCCAAACTGACGGTAATACACATGTTGTATTGGAACATCACCCCTTAAACTGACGGTATTACACATATTATACTGGAACATCACCCCTTAAGCGTACGGTATTACACATATTGTACTGGAACGTCACTCCTTCAACGTACGGTATTACACATATTGTACTGTAACACTGGCCCTTAAACTGACGGTGTGGCACATATTGTACTGGAACATCACCCCTTAAACTTTGGGTATCACACATATTGTACTGTAACACTGGCCCTTAAACTTTGGGTATTACACATATTGTACTGTAACACTGGCCCTTAAACTTTGGGTATTACACATATTGTACTGTAACACTGGCTCTTAAACTTTGGGTATTACACATATTGTACTGGAACACTGGCCCTTAAACTTTGGGTAT